GGTTTTGAGAGGCTCAAGCAAATTCTCACTTGCTGTTCCAAGGTCTGCTTCTTCCCAGACTTGCTTTTCTTCCTCTCAGGCATTTATGACCAGGAAACAGTGATATTATCAAAAACTATTAGAAACATTTAAAAAAAAATAAATCCATTGCAGTTGTGGAAAAAAAAACCAAATCACTGGAAAAAGATTTTAAAATAAATCTCACTGTATATTACAAGTGATGTTTATTCTTCTGCAATTTCACAAGCTCAAGAGCCAAGGGTGTCTTTTCTTCCATGTCTGTGCTTGCACATGTGCCGTGAGTTTGCTGGAGTTGTTTCATGTTTGCTTGAGTTATTCTGTTGTCTTAATCCTAAAACCTGCTGGCGATGTTTGAATGGGGGTGAGTTTGACAGTGTAACTTCGCCTGTTCTTGTCTTTGTGTAGTGCCTGACCCTTTTGTGAGCTCCCAGTTTCTGCAGCTTAAACCTCGGTAGTTATATCCAGAGACAGCAGGAGTGTTGCTGTGTGTAAATGAGTGGCCATCCTGGGACATGCAACCTTTATATATCTACAGTGTTTTACTGCTCAGGATGGGCACTATCACCCCGAATTGTTTCACTGTGTATTTTGCAAAGTCGTTTTTAATTATTTTAAATTTTATTGTCCTTTCTTGAACTTCTGACTTCAGGCTGTGAATGTGCTCTCACTTGTACAGTGCATATTTAGAGGCATGCTCCGAAGCCAGGGACAGATGTCAGAACAGCTGGCTGGCAACAGCGTGTAGGCTACAGCTACAAAATGCAAGCATTCAAGCTTGGTAATGTATCTGCAGCAAGACATGCTGGCATCCTTTGTTCCTGATGCCTTTGTTTAAAGCAGTCCATCAGCTTCGGTTTGCAGCAGGTAAGTTGAAGATTGAGGCAAGACAAAACCTGATCAAAAACAGGAAGCACAGACCTTCTTTCAGCTCATGTAGGTGAGCATGTGCTGTGAGTATGACTTTCCTTAGACTCTCTGTAGCTCAGTAATGTGTTCAATCCCAAAGTAAGTGGGATATGGTCTGTTCTCCATCAAAAAAAAACAACCCCCTCCATGGTACTTGTTTACAGGTAACAAATTACTTGTTGCAGCTTCAACTGAAGAAAAATTTCAGTGATTAGAGACTAAAAGCCCACAAGTGAGTTATTAAACCACGGTATAAAGTTTTGTTTCCTTAACATCCTGTGCTCAGGAGAAGTAAGCCATATCCAGTCACTTTTAAATAGTAATTTAAAAGAGTATGCTCCACCAGCTTAAATATGTGACTTGATAACTATGAAGTGCTGGACAAACCTGCCAGTATGGAAATGGATGTTCACCAAATTGCTTTCTGTGCAATATTCCGAATACTGCCATGGTTAAAGCTTTCCAGGCTCTGTCTGCCACTAACAAATCATTTTTGTTTTTTTTTTGTTGGCTTTTCTAATTTTGGTTGTGGAGGTGGGTTTTTTTTTTGTGCTCAGATGACTGAGAACTTTTTGCTCGGGCTGTATTCTATCTGACATAGGGCACCTCAGCCCTTCTGCAGGATGTTGGCAATATTTTCTGTTTTCTCACAGGAGACCAAGGAATACACCCTAAGTGTACGAGGATGCTCCAATCCTGAACCCTGCAGACTGGCTTTTCTATGTCGCTTGTCCCATGCTATCATGTGGGATCATGCTAGAAAGGAAGGATGCTGAGCTGCATGGCTGAAGACATGGGAAAGGAAGACTTTGGAGTGTGAATGCTTTGGCTTGCTCCCAGCCCTGATTGTAGTCCACCTTGAGAAGAGTTGTATGTGAGAGAGTGCCATGTAGCAGGGATGCTTGCCCTCCTGGCCAGAGGGGAAAGCTGGGTGGGATACACTTAGCTCTGTAAGGAGCTGAGATAGTTTCACTTCCCTTCACATTAATGACAGAATTACTCACTTCTCTTAAGTAGAACAGCAGCAGGAAGGGAGTACATGTGACTACAGATGGGAGTAGTTTTTCTTGCCATGGTTTGCATTACTGAATGATGTCACAGCAGTGACTTGTCCATGCCTTCTCCTTTTGGTGGCTTGCAGCCCCCAGCTCTGACAGTTTTCACAGAGTCATAGGCTGATTTGGGTTGGAAAGGACCTTAAAGCTCCTCCAGTTCCAACCCCCTGCCATGGGCAGGGACAGCTTCCACTAGACCAGGTTGCTCCAAGCCCTGTCCAACCTGGCCTTGAACGCTGCCAGGGATAGGGCAGCCACAGCTTCTCTGGGCAACCTGTGCCAGTGCCTCACCACCCTCACAGGGAAGAATTTCTTCCTCATATCTAATTGGAATCTTCTGTCTGTCAGTTTAAAGCCATTCCCCCTTCTCCTGTTACTACAGGCTCCTCTCCAGATTTCTTGTTGGTCCCTTTAGGTACTGGAAGCTGCTCTAAGGTCTCCCTGGAGCCTTCTCTTCTCCAGGCTGAACAAGCCCAGCTCTCTCAGCCTGTCTCCATAGCAGAGGTGCTCCAGCCCTCAGAGCATCTTTGTGGCCCTTGCTATGCTAAAAACTGGTGAAAATGCTGGTGTATACGGTTTATTTTATTGTACAGTACAAAACCAAGGTAAATTTATCTGGGAACCCTGCGGTGGAAAACTTGGGCAACGCTTTTGGGTCTGGCCTCCACCAAAAGCCAAACTTCAGCTGTAAGCAACCTGATTGTGGAGCTTTCCAGCCCTGGAGATCTAGGAGGAAAGTTGTTTTCTCTGGCTTCAGGCATTTCTGCAGATGCATTGCAAGCAGTTCTCTACAGCGTCTGGATTTCCAGTAGTGTCTTGTAAGGGAATGGATGCACTTGGCTTCCAGTTGCTAAAGAAATACCAGTCGCTGCTACTGCAGTATCTGATGTGTTCTGCAGTGTAACCTGCTCTCAAGACCTGACCATCTGAATGCTCTGCCGCTCTCGGAGGAGGAGGTTTGCTCTGCCGTGGGGGTGGATCCCTTGCGCAGACCTCAAACCCCCAGCCTGAGAAAGGCGGATGGGTGAAGGCTGGGATAAGCGGCAGGGGCCTGGCCGCAGGGTGGGCTCGGCCGCGTGTGCGGGCGAGCAGAGGGAAATGAGCTCACTTCTGCGGCTCTCCCTTCTGCAGCCCGCTTCCTCCTCATTTACATCGCGCACGCTGGCAGCTGTGGGAGAAGGAAGAGCGGCGACCGCAGGGATGGAGCTGCTTGTGCTGGACCTGCCTGCGGGAGCAGAACCAGGGTGCAGCCTCACCCCCCAGCACTGAGGTCCAGGAAGTGGCTGCGGCTGAGCCGCTGACCAGCTCCCCTCTTCCCTTCCCGAATGGCCTGTGCTCTCAGAAACGTGTTTCTTGCTTTCTACTAAGACCTATTTCTGACACCTTCTGAGTCTCATAGAGGGTACTTGCATCTTCTGGAGACTAAAAGGTCAAAGGGATCCTCTATGAAATTAGAGGAGCTCCTTGTTGGTGTCTACATCCTCAATCAAATGTCCTTCAAGCCCAAAGATGCAGTTTTCCATGGTGCTGGATGCTCACCTGGGTCCATGTAGGCTCACTGCACATGTTCAGTCTGGTGGGGTTATTTCCTTCCCCTCCTCCCTGAACTCATGCAGCCCCGATGTCTGCAGGTGTCAGCAACCAAACCAGTGCGTTGCTGCAAAGGCAAGTGAGCAAGCTTTGCTCAGAAAAACACAGAATTAATTCTGAAGGCTGCTTTGAAGACCCTCTTTCCACCAGAACACCTGGCAAGAACTAATGGACTCCTGGTGGCTGAAAATTGAGGAGTGAAGGTGAGCTTGGCTGTGGATAAATGGGTAATTGTGGAGCGAGACCATGCCAGGAACATGGGCTACTGATGGAAAGGGAGCAGGAGTGTGGGGGGTGGAATTGACCCAGAGGAGGATGCTCTTGCTACAAGGGGTTCCAGGCACATGAGCTGCTGCTAAACCAGAGCCTGAAAGCTGTAGTTTGGTGGCTGAATGTCAGCACTAGCATGTGCTTCCTTGGAAGAAGACAGCATGGTAAGGTAAACAAGCACACAGGTTGTTTGGCTGGGGGGGGGGGGGGGGGGCGAGGAAGCAAGAAGATTTTGAAGCTGATTATAAATTGCTGATTTTTGTCTCTTGGTTTCCCCTGCAAGAAACACACCTAAGGGAAGCTGTGCTTCTTGCAGAGCTCCAGTTAAACTGCAGCACTGGGCTGCAGAGATGCCATGCTCATGTACATGAATGCATCTGTACCATCCTGGAAGGGGACATCCTTAGTTATCCCCTGGTGATAAATGGTGCAGTGTTGAGAAATTTAGCCAGATGAACTTCAAAAGCTGTAGCTTAACTTTAAGTTGCCCATTTTAGCTTTTCCCTTTTGGCCATGTAATGTACAATCTGTTTTCTTTTTTATGTTCACAGTTCATCTTAAATTAGAGGCAACTGCTGCTACCAGCAGCTTCTGAGATATGGTAGACCAGCTTCCCAGAGCAGGTGATTAAATTAAGTAACTTCTTGATATGTTTGCACTGCTTGTGCATGCTTCAGCCAAGCAGCAAATGGAAATTTGGTGTGGGATTTAAAGATAAAAGTTGGATTTTCTTTAATTTTCAGAGTCATCACTGACCACAGTGCCTGGGAATAAATGGCTGGAGGGAAATGTTGGTCTTCACCCTGTGACCACTCCTCTCTTTCTGAGGAGGTCCAGCAAGTGAGATGCTGCTGTGACAGAGTCAGTTGCTCGAGCCTACCTAATATTTTCTGTTTGCAGTTTCCCATGAGCCTGGGGATTGTGATGTTAGGTGATTGTGACTGTTTCCATAGCTATTTGCTGAAGCCCTCCCAGGCTTGTTTCCTGGAGCAGCTGGTTCATCTTCCCATCATTGCAGGGGTGCTCTGCATCCTCTCCTTGTCAGGCAAAATGCTGGAGGCTGAGTGGAACCAGAGGCTTTGCGGGGATGCTTTGCACCATCATCCCTTGCAGAATGACTTGCTTAATTCTCTTCAGTTCTCCATCGCAGTGGGAGAAACCTTTCTGATTTGCTTTGCCCTGACCCATCCGAGGCTGTGGTCCTGCTGTGGTGTGGGCTGTGAATGACCCTTCTCTTGGTGATTCCACTTTGGAAGAAATCACATTTCTTGCAGGAAAACAAGGGGCATGCTAAGGTGTGGTGTTGGGGTTGCTCTTTTCTGTTGCAGTTTCCCCTTTCCCATGGGGTTCTGGTGCAGCAGCCTGAGGTTGACCAAGAGGCTGCCCTCATGTTGCAACTTTTCTCTTGGTTTGTGCTTGGCAATTTGAAGGTTGTTAAGGGGAAAAGATGATTTGGAGGAAGGAAGAGGTGGGAGGAATGGAGGAAGCTCGGTGGGTGGAAAGTTGTATGGGGATTCCCAGTCCTATCCTGCAGCTGCAGGAATTTCTGTTTTACATGTGGACGCTGCTTGAAGCAGCTGAATTTTCTTCAGTGTAATCCACCTGTGTTGCTGAGCTGTTCCTGAAGAGCTGATCAGAAGAGCAGCTGCTGGCAGCTCGATCCCTATCCCTTTACTGCGCTGATGTTATAAAATAAATAAAACCCCCTCAAAGCACACATCCACTTCTTGCCAGGAGGGCTGGGCTGGGGGCATGATGCTGCTCGAGAGGGAGAGGAGGGGAGCAAGCAGCAGTGTTGGGATATTTTCAAAGCCACATGGCTGCAGGATGTGGGGAAAGTGTGAAATGCAGCACTGTTGACAGATGCCCCAGTGCAGAACTGGTGGCTGCTCTGCAGGACCAGCTCTGGTGTGTGGCTGCTTTCTGTGGAGGACAGGGTGGCTGGGTGCTGTGGGGGCTCTTCCATCCCATAGTGCCCTGTCAGTGAGCACCTTCACTGCTGGGGAAAGGGGGGTTCACTGGCTTGGGTTTGGTCAGTCAAAGTTATGATCTGGGGATGAAGAAGGGGATGACATACATTGTTTCCTCTCCCAGCCCCTCCTGGGCTACAGGGAAGAAGATGGATTGACCTTTGGGACATCACCTTGTTTGGTGGCACCATATGAAGGAAATCTCATCAGAAGGTCACCTCTGAGCTTCCAGATCACCCAAGGGCAGAATATTACCACAGGTGAGAATGCTCAAGGTTTACAGCTCCAGGACTTTCCAGCCCTGGAGTGAACCTTTGGCAGCTCCTGTGTCTCTGAGCATCAAATGAGTGGTTTTAGTGTGGATTGGGCTTGTGGCAGGGATCTGGGGATGAGGAGTGGGTTTGTAATCATTGGCTGGTCTCAGCTCTTTGTGTGACCTTGAGCAACATCATGGGAATTTTGCCCTGTTGCAGAGCTTCTGCCATCTGCTCTGGTTCACTTGGATGAGGAGTGCTTCTGTCTTTTCCTTCTTGATTTTTACACTTCAAACTTCCTTGAAAATGGAGGAAATGAAACCACAGGGCTTTTCTGTGAGTGACATGGGAGAGCTCAGGATCTTTACAGAGAAGAAATGAAATTTAGGGTAAAAAAGGCAGAAAAAAAATCCCTCCCTCATCATTTGTGCTGGCTGCAGGAGTTTGGGGGCCACTCGATCTGGCCAGGCTGGGATGTCCCTTGGTGGGATGCTTGGTGTGCCACAATAACACTGTTGATCTCCCAGCTGCTGCAGAAGGTCCTACTGGGTGTGCAGCACAGACATTCATGGCAGTACCTGCTGATCCTACCAGGCAGGGTCCATGTTACAGGGCTCAATCCTTTCTCTGTAGTTTTGAACCCTTTCCCAGCTAGGTAAATCCAGGAAAACTGTTTTTCCCCTTGGCAAATGGGCTTGCTGGGGATTTGGGTGTGCATGAGGACCCTGGGAGGAGACATGCGGTGGGAGACAGAGAGCAGGGATGGATGGGGATGAATAGGAATGGGGCCTCCCTGTTCATATTGCCTTGAAATGTGGATTTTTGTCTGGCTCTGCCTTGGCAGTTGTAGGAAAAGCCATTTACGCTGACTCACAGAGGGACTGGCACTTGGGAGGTCTCTGTATCTGGATGTGTCTGACTTGCACCCTGAGTGCTGGGTTTGCTGAAATCTCGAGCAGCCCCAGGTGACCCAAAGGTGCGTAGACAGTGGGATCTGAGCACCCCAAACCTCACCTGGGCTGGGCACTGGTGTCCCAAAGTGGGGACTCCACTTCTGGGGACATGTTCAATCTCGTTTTGGAATGCAATGGGAAATAACAGTACCTCCCTCTTTCCATGAGGAAAGGACATCCCTTGGCTCCTGTTGAAGCCCCTGTGCTGCGTGCCAGAGGCAAGCAGGGGACACCACGGGAATAGTTGCCATGTGGGGGAGTACCGCCCAGCTGGTGGCTTTTCTCCAGCGCCAGAAGGGTCGATGGCATAGCTCTGCAGGCAGGAACCCCCCATCTCCCTGGTCACTAACTGCTGCCTGAAACCTGCAGTATTTCACTGCTAGGACTGCACAGAGGAGTCTTGGTGCAAGGGCTGGCCCCAGTGCTGGTTTGTTCCTGGAACAGCCAGGAGCTACACGGCCTTTGACAAGGGCTGGTTCCCCTCACATCTCCCTCCCTGCCTGCTCGGCCCCCACGGTTCCTCCTTGCTGGGGAGCTGTGTGCGAGTGCATGACCCGGGTTGTAAGTGCTGAGATCAGTAAGCAGAGTGCCTGGCCACGCTCTCTGCCTCCATGTGACTGCAGTTTCCGTTGGCTCCTTCCGCAAAGGCTATATTAGCACTAAGTGAGAACGCGAGTGGGAGAGAAAACCCAGCAGGTTGCACCTACCCTTGGCCCCAAGAGCACACCAGAGAGGCCACCGGCTGCAGGATGAGTTGGGGCCAACGCTGTGTGCTACACCACGCAGTGAGTAACTGCCCCCTGATACCTTTACCAGGGGAAAGCCCTGCCGGGGGGGGTTTAGGGAGCTCCCCTTGCCGCCTTGAATGTGGTGGCCATGCATCTGTGGTGGCCATGCATCACTGATGCCCACGCTCCCAAGAGCTGTGGCTGTGTGGGCCGGTGCTGGTGTGCACATGGAGAGCACCTCAGGTGCTCCCAGTCCTCTCACATGTGGGCTTCTCTGTAGGGCTGGGGTTTCCTGCTGGTGCTGCTGTCACTGTCCTGGCTGGGCGAGCAGCATCCTGGCAGCCCCAGGGAGGAGTGTGGGAGAAGAAAAGGTCTTCTGGTGTTGGGGGAGGCCAGTGCTAGGTGGCAAAGAGGCTGAGCTGGGTGAAGGAACATGTGAGCTTCCATGGAGGGGTTCAGGGGCTGAAGGGCAGCTAGAGCCAAAGTCCTCATTGTTTTGGTTGCAGTGAGGACAAAGCAGGGTCTCCTGCCGCTGTGTCTGGTGCAAGGTGCTGCTGGAGACCAAGGGCTTGGGAGGGTGCAAGCTGCTGAGCATCAGCTCCAGCCTGGGGAAGGCGGCTTCCTCTCCATCCCCACCAGAATAATGAATGCTGTTTTGACATATTAAAACACCAGCTTATCGCTTTAGGCTGGCCCAAGGAAGGAGACAACCCAGTATATGTTCCCTGCTCCCTCTCTGTTAGGAGGCTTTGACCTGGGCTGCCAAAAATAACCCTGTTTCTTCTTCAAGCACTGGCAGTTATGAAGACACCACTTGCCAAGTCCTTGCTGAGAACCTGCTGCTCATTTGCCTGAAGTTCATCTTTTCCCCAGATGCAAATGCTGTCAACTCCGGTTCCACCAAGTTAGTAACAGGGCACCTTGTGCTGGAGACCCTCTGCTTCCCCAGGAGAGAACCTCCAGCAGGGGCAGGTGCTGAAGGGACTTGTGGTGGCTGGGCTGGTGTCCCCTGGGAGAGCATTTGACACCAGAGGCAGAAGACACAAGCACTGGCATGGGGGAAAGCCTCTTCTCAAGGGTTGCAGCTCAGTGGTGTTTGTGAACAGCTGTGCAGTGACAATGGTGTCTTTCCCATGTGTGCTGCCAGCCCAGTCCCCATCCCTTCTTTTCTCCTGCCCTTCAAGCTCTCCTGGGTGGACCCTCCAAGGGCTCCTGATGGCGTGGGTGGGCTCAGTGCTGGGGTTCCTCACTACTTCTCCATGGGCAGCTCATGGTTGCCACCAATATGGCCTGTTGGGAGCCCATTGCCTCTGAGTGCTCCTGGGGCAATGCTGGGAGGTGTGTGCTTGCAGGCAGCAGCCATGGGCAGGAGGCCTGCTGTGCACAAGGATCACCACTGCCATGGTGGACTCCCTGGAAAACCTACGCTTTTTGGGATGAGCAGTTTTTTACCTTTTCACTTCTGTCTCCATCTCTGCAGGCGTGCTGCTGCTGACATGGAGGCCCCACTCCCTGGTCTCTTCCTGCTTCTGGTCCTCCTGGCATTGGGATGGGGAAGCAGGGCAGTCACAGCCTGGGCAACATCTTCTGGCAGCTGCAAGCTTGTAAGTCCACCCTTGCAAACCCTCATGCTTCCAATTGCTTGGTCTTGCCCTGAAAAATCCCAGACACCTCAGCATCTTCAGTCCTTCTCCTCCCAGCTACTAGCTTAGTGAAGGACTGGACTGGGTGCCAAGCCTCTAAGCATAGAACCACCTCCTCCATCCTCGCTCTGCTCCCCAGACTTCTCCCTCCCCATTTCTCTCCACCTCCTGCCTCCGAGGGTGGCATTACATATCCACTTCATGCTTTAGGTGCAGAGCACCATGGACTGCACTGGAAGATGGCTCAGCTCTGTCCCAGGAGATGTTCAAGGCGATACCGAGGAGCTGTTGCTTGATGACAACACTATTCAGGTTCTGGGCAATGAGTCTCTGCTCTTGTACCACCAGCTGCGGTGTCTCAGCTTGACCAAGAACCGGCTGGAGCTCATTGAGCCTGGTGCCTTCCTCAGCAGCCAAGGCCTCCATGTGCTCTCCTTGGCAGACAACCTTCTCTTCACCAACTACTCACTGACAGCAGCTGCTTTTTCTGCTCTGCCAGCTTTGAGGATGCTGGATCTATCTGGAAACCACCTCACTGAGGACATGGTATCAGTTTTGGTCTGCAACCTGTCTTCCCTGGAGTCCTTGTCAGTGGCCAGGAACATCATCATGAGGTTGGACTCATCCATCTTCACGAACCTGACACAGCTGTTGGAGCTGAACCTGGAGAAGAACTACATCTTTGAGATTGATGAAGCTTTCACAGGGCTGCAGCGGCTGCAGAAGCTCAATGTAGCTTACAACTACCTCCCGTGTGTAGTAGAGTTTGGGCTGACCCAGCTCAGGGTGCTCAATGTCAGCAACAATGTCATTGAGTGGTTTCTGGCCCTGGAAAGTGATGACCTTTTTGAGCTGGAGGTGCTGGACCTATCCCACAACCACCTCCTCTTCTTCCCTGTGTTGCCGTGGCAAAGCAAGCTGCACTCCTTGCTGCTGAAGGACAATGAGATGAGCTTCTACCAACGTCTTCCCAATGGCACATCCCTGGCAGATGTTACAGTACAGTTCCTGCTCGTTGATGGCAACTCCACCAACATCACAACGGTCAGCCTCTGGGATGAGATCTGCCACAGCAACCTCTCCTCCCTGCGCCTTCTAGACATGAGCTGGAATCAGCTCTGGTACCTGCCAGAGGGTTTCCTGGCCCAGATGCCTTCCCTGACCCACCTGAAGCTCAACCAGAACTGCCTGGAGATGTTTCACCTGTCTGAGAGGGACCCTTTACCCATGCTGACAGAGCTGGACCTCAGCCAGAACAGGCTGGTGGAGCTGGGGGTGGAGGTGGGTGCCAGGGATGTCCTGCCCAACCTGCAGCTCTTCAACCTCAGCACCAACAAGCTGCGGACGCTTCCTCCTGGGGTTTTCACCTACACCAGAAAGATCACTACTGTGGACCTCAGCCACAACCAGGTTGAACTCTGTCCCCAGCCTGTTGTTGCAGGTGAGGCAAAGAGTCCCCCCTGTGTGGACATCAGGGGTGTCAAGACCTTGACTCATCTCTCCTTGGCTGGCTGTGGTCTGAGGGGACTAGGTGGTCACCCCTTCCAGGGAACACTGCTGATGCATTTGGACCTCTCCGACAACCATCAGGTACTGTCCGGGGAGCTGGGGTGGCTGCAGGACCTTGCTCTGACACTGCAGGTGTTGTCTCTGAGGAACACCAGTCTCTCCTCTACCACTGTGGACTTCTCTGCCTTTAGCAGCCTTGTGCACTTGGACCTTTCGGGGAATTCCTTGACTGCCTTCCCCACCTCACTGGGTGCCCTGAAACTGCGCAGCCTGAACCTGCGGAACAACTACCTCCCGGCTCTGCCAAAGGACATGGTGCAGGCACCACTGGGGAAGAGCCTGCGGGAGGTCTACCTCAGCCAGAACCCCTACAACTGCTGCACGCTGGGCTGGTGGGACTCCCTGCAGCGGGTCGAGGGCTTGTGTGTCCCTGACGGGCAAGAGGTGACCTGCAGCTATGCCTCCCGCACGCTGAGCCCCAGGGCACTGCCCGAGCCCGTCCTGCGGAGCTGCCGTTGGCAGACGGCTGATCTGGCTCTGCTCTACCTGGTGCTGGCCCTGCCCACCTGCCTGACGCTCCTGGTGGCCTTTGCCATCGTCTTCCTCACACTCAAGCCAAAGCTGCTGAAAATGGTTAAAACTCGGTGCGGGGTGTCCAGCTCTTGCTGATGGCTGAGGAGTAGGAGGAGGAAGGGCTCAGGAATGCTGCATGCAAGTGAGTTGTCAGGATTGCAGGCAGTAGCCCCTCCAAGGTGGGTGAGTTGGAGTCATGATGGATGGAGCATCCAGGGGTGCAGGGAGAACTACTGTTCCTGCTACGGATTCCGTAAGGGTACCTGAAGGGTGTGGGGCCATGTCTGGTGATGCAGCCTGAGGCCATGCTGAACATTCTCCAACCATCAGCTGATGTTGGCAAGAGTCAGAATCAGAGAATCAAATTGTTTGGGTTGGAAAGGACCTTAAAGCTCCTCCAGTTCCAACCCCCTGCCATGGGCAGGGACACCTTCCACTAGACCAGGTTGCTCCAAGCCCTGTCCAGCCTGGCCTTGAACACTGCCAGGGATGGGGCAGCCACAGCTTCTCTGGGCAGCCTGTGCCAGTGTCTCACCACCCTCACAGGGAAGAATTTCTTCCTAGAATCTAAACTAAATCTCCCTTCTTGTCAGTTTAAAGCCATTCCCCCTTGTCCTATCACTACAGGCCCAAGTAAATAAGTCCCTCTTCAGATTTCTTGTTGGTCCCTTTAGGCACTGGGAGCTGCTCTAAGGTCTCCCTGGAGCCCTCTCTTCTCCAGGCTGAACAAGCCCAGCTCTCTCAGCCTATCAAGTTGAGCAGACATGACACCAAACACCTCTTGGGCAAAGTGGCATGGACAGTTTCCCCCAAACATGTTCCCCCACCCTCCCTCAGGCTGTTTGTTTTATTTATTCACCCCAGTAGCCAGCTCCCTATTGCAAAACATCCTCCAGGTCTGCAAACAGCCTCCATGAATTGCTCTGGGCTGGAGCTGCACCACCAGGGCGCTACAGAGAAGGGTTCTGTGGCCACAGCTCCAGCAAGCACACAGGCAGCCCTGGGTCACCCCAGTGTGTGTGCCGATAAGACAGGTGTTGTCAGCAGGGCTGAAAGATGTGTTTTGGGGTGTGTTGCTTGGTTAAGTCACAATTCCAGTTAGAAAAGCCCATTAAAAATAGGCCAAGCTGCAACAGTGTAAAATACTGATCAAAAGACAGTAGAGTAAGTTAAATCACTTGCAGTATTTTGTTGCAGATTTCTTTTTCTCCAGTAACTGCTTGATTAAACAGATGCAAAGGAGATGAAACAAGAGAAAGCCTTTCTCCCTGTTGCATATGCCCTACTTCCTGCTCCCATGGGCTGGTGGCTCCAGCGGTGGTTGGGGTTTCTCCACCCAGCCCTGCTCACAGCAGTACCCGCACTCTTATAGCAGCAGCACTACCTGGGGAAGTGCTGCTTTGTTCCTCGGAGAGTTACTGTGGGTGGAAATGAGAAGTGGTGGTGGTTTGTGTTAACTCAAAAGCCCTGCTGGGACCTGGAGTGGCTTTATGCTCATGGCACTGTAGGGCCTTTTCCAGTCTGCAGAAGATGCAGTAAAGCTATTAAGATGGAATAATGAGGTAGCAAATATAGTGTGATAATGGGTTTATTTAATGAACTCATCAGGTTTCTTATCCTTTCTAGTCTCTCACTGCAAGGATTATCTACTGGTTTGAGTCGGGATACACAGTTCATGGAGGATTGGGAAAAATAAGAAATTCACTCTCTACACTAGAACTTAGGAAGTCTTTAAAATATTGAAGTCCTCAAAGTGTTGCCACTTCAGTCTGATGCTATCAGTAAAAGGCTAAACTTGTCTCGACACCTACAAAAAGGAGAGTCTCTACAGCTTGACGTATGTTCCAGTACTACAAAGAATGACCGTACAGTAATGGCTCAGCTGTGGAGTATCCAGGCCTAACTTCAGTGCAGGATCAGAGAATTTCTGAGACTGTGTCAGTAAGCGTTACTAGGGATGCTGAGTACAGCTCTTCACCCTTATTTTAATAATGTAAGGAAATATACAGGAATATCCAGTTTTATTCACAGGCAGAGAATGAACACCTGTCCATTGATGCAGCCACCCACAATGACATTTGGGTCGCTTGGGCTGAACTGAAAGCAGTAGATGTCTTCAGGACACTCCAACAGTAGCTAGAAGGAAAACCAAAAGAGTTGAGAAATACAAATCACTCAGGTTGCTTGTTCTCTTGTTGTTTAAACACCTGACATATCAAAATTGCTGATGAAATACCTGAGGCTGGATAGGGTCAGAAACACTCCAGAAAAGTATTGCTGATTGCTGCAGCAATGACTTGTCAGAAAGGTTAATGTGTTCTTCGTAAGAAAGCCTCTGTCTTGCTGACACTGCTATGATCCCTGAGTGAGAAAACAAATTTTCTCAGAAGAGATAATTCAAGTTTCAACATGCTGTTAATTATTCTGAGTGACTTGTACCTCCTGAATACAGTGAAAAACAAAACCAAAAATGACCCCCAAGACCCAGCCATGAATTGATATTGCTCTCTTTACAGATCAACTCTGAGGAAATTGGTTTTGTTGCTTTAAGTTATTCAGCAATGAGCCATAGAACCTAAGCTTCATGGTAAAATTCAGGGGTTTTGCTACTGCTCCTGAATGGTGTAATACTGCCCCTGAAATGATGGGACAGGCTTCTAGTGCCCATCATGAAATGAAATCTTCTGTAGCTGAATTTGTTTTCTATGGAGGCTCATGGCAGCTGCACCCACCCTGACAAAGCCCTGACCAAAGCCCTCAAAATCTTCCCACCACAGAGCCCAGGAAAGCTCCCCACATGCACAGCTCTTGCCCTATACACAATGGTGTTGGTTGGAGGGTGCAGGGACAGGAAGTTGGGTCCTGAGCCCATGGGGGGTTACATGACCGTGTCTGAGCACAGCTCAGTTTAGATCAGGCTATAAAGGGACTCCCACTGGGCAGCCATTTGGAGTCAGTCTTCCTCGGAGCAGCAGGTCTGCAGCTGGGGACTCTCACCCTGGGTTGGGACATTGTCTAAGGTAACATTTGAGGTTGAGAGCCCTCCCTTTTGGGTGAGTAAGTGTGCTTTGTCACATGTGGATCGTTGGTCAGAATGTTTAGGATTCAGCAGTGTAGTGACGAATCCATGTGACATCCCAAACCTGTAGCTGGTATTGATGGAGCTTTAATTGAGTTTGAACAATAAATTTCATTTAGCCTCAATTTGTTGGCTCCATGACATTTAACTTGGCATAGTCGGCAGGGTGTCCACATAGGAATTGTCACGGAGGCAGGGATGCGCCCCTTCTCTACCGGGTGAAGGTGAAGCGGTGGGGGCCACGGGCGATCCTGCGATTCGAGCTGCGGCTGTGGTGGCTGTGGTAAAGGGAGCGCGGGCGCCATGTCGGGAAGGTGCTGGGCACAGGCACAGGACTGTTCGCAAGGAACGGTTTGGAGCAGCAGCTGGAGCGGGCTGTTTGAAAGGGGAACTGGAAAGAGAGCGACCGCGGTTATTTGAACTAAGAATTGTAATTACGCTGGCACGAGCTGAAGAACTCCACCGCAGTACTGTCCGAATTCGGAAGCTGGTTGCGGGCACAATCCCGGAGGACTGGGACAGGGATACCTGCAGAGACTGCGATGGGAGCGCTGCTGAAGAGGTGGCTTTGCTGGAGGAAAGGGCCTTGTGAGCTCTCGTTAACACCGAGAGGCAGAGGGTGTGCACGGGAACCCTCGAACCACGGTCCGCAGGCTCCTGCTCAGACCTCAGCTCAGGGGTTGCACACCCAGTTTTTGCGCAAGCCGGGCGAAACCGGAACGGGGCATCTGTGGAGAGGCTCTGACGGGGGAGGTCGGGTACTGCTCAGTGGCGAAGAAGTGAGCGGGTTTTGGGGTCCTGAAGTTGTTGTGAGCAACGGGCGGTGGGCGATCTCGTAATAACCTTCTGAGTGGCTTCTCGGGCTGGGGATAGAGCCCAGGAGCAAGAAGCACCGGCCACTGTTACAGTGAAAGGAGTGTCGGAGCTACCGGAGAGGGGACAAACTGCTGCGTGCATCCCAGCAGCGTATGAGAGAGGGCTGCCGGGAGTACCGATGGCCTCTCCAGGAGATCCTGGCCACCTCGGACCCCTCCTCAGAGGGTTACCAGATGTCCTGAAAAATACCCGTTCAGTCTCTCACTGGCACGATCAGCCCCGCAGGATCTTCCGTGCGTGCCCTGAGTGGGGCGGAGACGGGACACGAAGTAGGGCGGGAGGTGGGCTGGGCTGATCCGCGGGGGTTAGGGCGAAGAAGCGGTTAATACTGTGATCGCTGTGGTCATCTGGGGTATCTGTGTGCCTGCCTGCCTCCCCTTCCCACTGCAACGGCAGCTCAGGGACATGGGCTGCAGAAGCCGCAGGTAAGTGCTCTTTGCTCTAGAGTGCTTTCGCTCACCGTAGCTCCAGAGCAGAAAATGTCTTGGACATATCAAAAACCCTCAAACCCGAACAAACCCCCAACAAAACCCTAAAGCCCCTAAGTCTTCAAAAGGAGTGAATACTTCGGGGAGGAGGGAGGAGGAACTTGCAGGAGCCGAGTAGCAGAATTTTGGTGGCCTATGTGAATGTAGCTCCTGCAGTAGAAAATGTCTTCCCTTCTGGTGGGAGCAGGTGGAGGTGGACGTAGACTGAAGGGGTGGATATGGCATGTGGTAATGTTAAATACAACAGCTGAGTTGTATTTAAGATTTTTACAGCTTATTAGTGTCCCCACAGACCCAGAACTTTGAAAACTATTATTAAACAGAACATACATTATAACAGTATTAATGACAGTGGAACAAGTGTGCCAAGAATAGTTGTTCTGTAACCACGTCATTAGTATAACTGCAAAATGCTTTATTTCTGAAGCCGAACATCTTCTGGTGCAATAAAGAGGTCATGAAATAAAAAGCTGTCTGGTTCCAAATGGGCTCTAAGCATCTGATGATGAAAGCATTTCTTGCCCCTTTTCTACTCCTAAATCCAGTAGTATCTGCTTCAAGTCCAGAAACACATATAGTCTGCATTTTCTTGTTCCTTCATCTCTTCTGTTTTATGTAGTCATACTCTGAAGGAAAAACAAGGCAATAAGCTTTGAAACTTGTACGCAACCCCATTGCTTTCCAGTGGATAGTATCAGTGCTAACACAAGTTAATGAAAATAGATGTCACCCAGGGCTGCATTAACTGAATTGTCATTTCCTTGATGGATTAGTTGGTATTATTACACCATTTACCAAAGAATGGATAGGCAAAACCCTTGAGGGAATAAAGAATGGAAGGCTTGAAGAAGCAAGGTTTATCTATTAACTTTCAGATATAATAACTGATGTTAAAAGAAAAGCAAATTCATAGTTGTTAAATATCTGTAGGCTCTAATTCTCTTGTAGGAGTTTCACTTGACCAGGAGCTGAGCTCACATGAACTAGGACCATCTATTCTATTCCTTAGATTTGCAAATATGAAATAAGGAGCTGCTAAGCTATTTTGATTATGTCCATTCTGATTTTTTAAAATACTACAGAAAATCCTGCCTGGTGAAACAGGTGTGTATTTTAAAGACCCAAAGAAACAAAGTTATCTTAGTTCCAAGTGTAACGTACTGTTTTCTTCCTTTGTGCTTCCAGATGGATTTCTGTTCTGTTTTGGCTTGAAGGTCTTGATACTCTCGAAACTCTTGTTCACAGTACTTCAGATATTTGACTTCTCTTTCAAAATAATCAAGTATGCTGTCATGCTATTAAAAAATGACAAAAAAGGGTCATTACACGCCCAAAGACACAGAACTATTGCTGATGATCTGAACTGTATTAGGTTATCTATATTGGGAATATAGTTATCTGTTTATCCAAATAATTTGCAGCAAAGCAATATAAAGATGTGCATTGAAAGCAGTTGATTTTGATATATATATGCATGGAGTTAAATAATTTTTATTACACTGATTCTCAGTAGATCAGGCTTCAGGAACCTGCACTGAAATAACTAAACCAATATAATATAAATATTAGTGACTGCTCCTGGGTTAATAATTCTGTGCCTTAAATAGTGTAGCTCTAAAACATACATAAGTTGGGCAGAAGCAATGTGTTTCCTCACATTATAGCACTTGATTAGGGCCTACCTTGCTTTGGAGAAAGTTACTTTTACTAAAATGAGGCTGCTGACCTGGTGCTACATTGCTACATACTGTGGTTCTGCAAACAGCAAACCTTTATGGGACGTTTATAAACTATATAAGTGCATACATAAGTTAAAACTGGGATAGGATGGGAAGAAGATCTTGTGATGTAAAAATATCAGACTAGCTAGCAGGCAAGACTGATAGACTGGATGAGATTAAAGCAGTAGCTTGATCTTGGGGGGGGGGGGGGGGGGGGGGGAGAAAACCTGAAAATTATGTGGAAATAAAAAGAAATTAATATTGTTTTCATTGTTCCCATGGTCCTCTGGTACAGGTAGTCCTTATTCCAAAACAGAATGAATGTTAGGTGATGTTAGTAACAGTTGGCTAAATGTGCTTTAACTAAGCTAGAACCAGACGCTCACACATGTAAATCAAAGTTACCAAATTTATAGGAAAAAAAAGATACAAATGTGGACAAGAAGGTGTAAAAATAAAAAAGTATAACATAAGTGCCCTATATAGCATTGATTTAATGCATGAAAGCTAGGTGTCATTTTATGCATGTGGCAAAAAATGCTGAACTCTTTACTGTGTTTCCATGTAGCCAGGTTGGAGCAGAACTGGAGTTCTGCCAGTTGCCACCCAGGTTTCCTTTAGGTGCTTCTTATGTGAGCTCTGTGCAAAGCCAGCTTTGCTACAGGTGATCCTTGGAGAACATGGCCGTACTGATCTCAGATTATTGCCATCCATTTGAAGGGAAGTTTTTCCAGGCAGACTTGTTTCTGTGGTGGAATTTTCAGCATAAAGTGTCACAGAGATGAATAAAAATTCTTACCAACCTCGTTCATCAAGGGGTCACTTAGTGCCTGACAGATTTCCAAAATATGCAGTGCTCCAAGATCATCAGACACCGCTAAAAAGTGCTGCTTTGCTGAAAGATATTTCACAAAAACATATAAGCAATGTAAATTCCAACAGTAACACATACCTCCAAACACAAGCCACACAGGGTTCATTCTTCTTGTGGTCTTTTTGGTTTATTGTTCTCTGCAGCAAAAAGGCAGCCTTATTGCTCTCTCATTTTCTTAACAAATGAATTTCCCTTTAAGGTTTATACTTTAATTTTTTTTTTTTCAGTTGTTTTATACTGTGATAGTGCATACTGATGTATGCCTTTTTTATACATACAATGCAGTGTTAGAGGAAGTATGTACTTATCTATTATAGAAGATCATCTGCAGCAAGATTACTGTGCCTTGGAGTCATGGGCTGTTATGCAAACAGGGTGGCTCAGTAAAGTGCCATCACCATCAACATACATGAGGCAATCCAGGGGCTGATGAAAGTGATCTTTGATTCAGAGATGTTCTGGAAATAAGATGGCTCATGAGTTTTCTTCAATAAGTCCCAAATATCTACATTTCCATCATCTCTGCCAATGAAGAAAACTCCTGGTCTTGTTAAGGACCATCGTCCCGTAGTGTATCTTCCTGAAGAGCAGCTTGACTGAAGGATCGCTCCATACTTGAATTTTTTAAACAAATAAAAGATAAACCCAAGAGTAAACCAGTACTATCCATTCACTACTTTAATTCTCCTATTGTTTAAGAACATTCACAATTTAAATGATCCTATTACAAAAATTGTATCAATGGTAAAATTGGTATCACTATCTGCAGATAAAGAAAATTGTGGGGAAGTAAAAAACCTCATATCTCACTTGCAGTCTATTAAGGTAGTCTGTTTATAATCTCTCCACTCTTAAAATCTATGCTCTTGAGATTTTGCCACATGTAGCACATGAGGAGAACTGTAAAAACATCCATGTTGCTCTGTCTTCACATAGTTAAAAGGCTGTGTCCTAAATGAGTTCTTCAAACTCATTTAGCACACATTGCCTTTATTCTTCTCTTTTCCTAGGAGCAGAAATAATTGGTTGAGAAGCTACAGTTTTTACAAGGTTGGAATGAAAGAAGGTCACTTCATTTATTTTCTGTAAAAGGCAAGCTTACAATGCTATTTCTAAAATCGTTTTCTGATGTGAAGAAAAAAGCATTTCTTATACCCAATTTAATTCTAACTGTGAAGCTTTGTGACGTACAAACATTTCTGAAAATACAGTTTCTGAGGCTATTATGGTTCCGTCATCTAATTATGTTTCAGCTGTGTTAAAGGAAACTTACTGTAACCTCTTCTTTCCAAATGGCAAACTTCCGTCCTCCAATGCTTAGAATGATGTCTTTAAAAAACGGAGATCTCTGGAGAGTGTTGATGGTTTCAGTGTGGACAGTGTATTTCTGAGTGTGCTTCTGATCTAGTGGAATGAAAAAGGCAGTTGCTTGTAACTAGCGCTTTAGTGACCATCTTCACAATGGGAGTTACATGGTGGGAAACAAGTGCAGGATCCAGCACACGTTTCAAAGGTCCTAGCCTCACTTTTTTGCTGACAAGGTATAGGAAATGTAATTGCTGCAAATCTAGTCACCTGAATGATTTGTGCCAATGAGTACATAGCGATGCACATATGCTACTGGAGAGGGCTTTTGCTATTTTGTCATGACAGCTAAACTGCTCACACTTTCGAGGTGTAATGCTAAATCCTGGTGTCATCAGGGAGACAGACTATTATAGCAGATGAGCAAGAACATTAAAATGACAGAGTATAGGTGCAAATATTTTAAAGCTGGCAATATATTAAGAGTTAAACACATATTGAGAAACTTGAACTTACTAACTGGTATTGGGAGGTCATTCTCGATTTCAATTTTCCAGTCAGAATAAACAATTTCTCCATCCTGTGATGCCAGAAAAATCAAGTAAATGCTAACGTTGGCATTTGGTGGCTTATATCAAAGTGACTTGTTTTTAAGCTGTGACTATACTTAATTATAACCATCATTAAATATGTTCTGAGCAAATAAAACTTAGACTTGCAGTGAGTGAATGAAAAAGCACTAAAATTTTGGACACCATTTTTCAGTTACCTATTGCCAAAACAGCTTTAATTACCATGGTGTATGTAGGCAGTTCTTGCTGCAGAATTAGCTGCTTGGTTCATGCATTGCTCCAGTATTTGGGTAAAAGGTGATCAGAAGCAAAAAGGTAGCTACAAGCCAAATTTTCAATTCCATATGAACTCAAAGGTGGGAAAGAATTTGGAATTTTAGGTACGCTGGGTAGGTAGAGGGCTCTGAATAGCTGGGACTTCCCAAAGTAGAATTAGCTGTGGGGAAAACTGTAGTATAAATGCTTGCATCTGGCATTTGGGGAAACACTGAGAAAAAAAATATCACTAATCTTACAGGTTCTGAAATAATGTTTGGTTCCTGATAGCAGGTAGTTAAGCTTGATATGTCTTGGAAATGTCTTCTAGTTCTGTCCTTGAAGTCAGAGTTCACAGTCTACCAAATATTGGGGTTATTATTATTTTTTATTCATGTAGCTAAATGGATGAAAATGGGAGTAAAATGTGGCATGCCTAGAAAGATCTTTTTAGTGAACGCCTGAAGGAAACATGCAAGTCCAAAAATTTGTAAAAACTCTGTTACTTAATTGTTCAGTCTTTTGTGTATCTTGGATGAACATTTTTCATTAGTAATCTATTATTTTCACTTACTTCAGTTCCAACAAAAAAATCAGTGGAGATATCCTTTATCCCTTTCAGACTTCTGCTCATCTCTCTGGCAGACACCCTCTCTGGGAAACAGAATGGATACATCTATTTATTATACACTGGAATTTGTTAGACAAAGAAAATCCTTTGTCTTATAAAGGTAGTTCATTGCTAAGGGGAATTTCAAGAAGAGAAATTAAGAAAGACTGCCAAGTAAATCACCAATTCTGTAGGTTAATTGTTTCCGGGTGGCATCTACCCGTTGCTGCAGCTGCTCTGCAGTTAGTACTTCCCATACACAAACTACTTAGGGTAGCACCATTCTGTTCTTCATCAACTTTACACAGCATCAGTGTCTCCATGGGAACTGCCCTTATACATCCCCCTTAGCTGCTGCAGCCAGGAGCTAACATTTCTGATCCAGGGAATGGCACAGCCTGCTTCCTGCAGTCTGTGGAGGAACAGTGTGCAACTATGCCAGAGCAACTCAGCTGCCAGAAAGGCATTTGCAATCACTCTCTCAGGTTACCTGTATGTTACCTGACTCTTAGGCTACCTGTATGTTAGCTTGCCAACTCTACAGAGGGATTAGAAATGTGTCCCTACCACAAAGTAACATAATAAGAACTGATTTACTATAGAACATGAAGTTCTGAAGAGTGATACCTCTGTCCAAAGCACTGCAGAAATACCTACAATATATACTGTTACTCTAGGATTATTTTTCTAAAAATAGTATTCTATAAGGGCTGAAAAGGACATAGTGTCTCAGGGATAAAGAGACTGGGTAGGGGACTTGTATCAGCAAGTGAAACCTGACCAAGCTACCTTGGATACAGAACTCTTGTTCCTGTATTCAGTACAAAGAGATATCACTGTTGTTAATACATGTATGCTGCAGTTTGAATACCAGTATATTTCAGAAACGTTTCTCCCCAGATGCCTTTAGCCATACAACATTGTGTCGCTCAGCTTTCACTATGTATATACTGAAATATAAGTTTTTTAAAAACATTTTCTCCAATAAGGTGTAATCAGAATATTACCTGAGCTTTTGAAATTGCAGTGCAGTGCCCTTAAAATAATCCTGGTGGAACCATACTCTTGGTTGATGCCACTTTTGTGCAGGTTTATCTGTTCAGAAAAAATGCATTTGCTAGCTCACTTTGTCAGATCTTTGAGGTACAAGACTAAATGGCTTACTGCTGGAACAGAACTTTTCAGTTTGCCATGTGTTTGTAATATTCCACAAACAGGATTTGCTGCCTCACATGCAAGCACAAGGAAAACACAAACCTGTGGTTTCTCTTGTGTTATCCTTTCCTGTAAGTTTTTTGCTATGTTTCTAGAAAAAAGAAACCAACAAACCAGCTCCAGTGGTCATGCTTATTCAACAACTGTACCAGCTACAGCTATTCTAAGCAGCACAGGTCAGCAGGTCCAATATATATATATATTTATATAATATATATATTTAACCTAACAGATTATTTTCAGCCTCACTTTTTTTCACAAACTGTTATGGCCACTTTCATCAGACTGACTGTTGGCTTGCAAGTAATTACGGTTCTGTTGACAATGACCATGTTTCACAGTTTGGGACACACTTGGGACCCGCTGAGATAGCACAGCTGTTGAAAA